GGAGGGAGTACCTAGCACACAGTCTACAAGGGTGATGGGACAGAAAACAGAGTGGGAGGAGTCCCGATGGACAAGTGTGAACAAAAAAAATCCCTTCAGAGAAGTGGGGAAGGGAAGAAACAGCACAAGTCTGAAAACATCATTAGGACAATATGTGAGAGACAAAGGAAATAATAAGACAGATAATCTGTTTAGGTTTACAGCAGACTCTGCCTTCCACTGGGTAGAGTAACCAGTATCCCCATCTATGGCTGGATATGTAGCAATATCTGCAAGGGTAGGTTAATCCAGCTTTATGTTCCCTCAGTCTGAGCTGGGCATGTTGATTTAGGCAACTGTAACACACATTTCTTTTCTCCTCAGAGTGGCATGAACTCTGTGGGAGGTTCAGAGTTGCTTTATCTCCTTGTGGCAGGTCTTTCTGTGCTCTCTAGGGTCTTGCAAAGGTACTCCTGTTGCAGAACACTCCTCCAATTTTCTGCTACTTAAATGCACTGAAACCTATAATCTCAGATAGTCTGCTATAGTGTTTCTGCATAAATTATTTGGGAAATAAAAGCATGTGGATTTGGTACAGGCTAATTCTTATTTTTAAATAGAATGTAATTTGCTATTGGCAAATTAATCTCATTTATCCTAGTTCCATTTGTTTAAACAATGTGAGTAGAGTTATTCATGTGTAAAGGAGTTGGCAAATGCTGCCAAATCCACTAATAAATCTGGCTGCTGAACATAGCATTTGGAAATGGAGTTATTTGCCATTCTCATTTTGTAGTATGCTAATTTCCACAAAAATCCACTATGATATTAGAAAAAAATATGTCTTCTCCTGGAGAAAAAGCAAAAAGAAATTATTAATTCTGCCAATATTGTATACAAGAACTAGCAGAAAACTGTAGTGAGCAAGACAGATTTGCAGGACTCTTCTCTTTTGTCAGCAGTGGAAATGGTCCCACAGACCTGTTGCAGAGTATTTTTATAATCCAGTTTTGTATACTTATATTCATCTTCTCATTTTTAGAGCTTTCAGTTAAAAGTTACTGACAGTAACTCCAGCTCCAGCTCTTATGTGCATCCATGCCTGTCGCTACAGTAACTTTATAAATCTTTGCCATACTTAAGAATTCTGGGTTAGGGGATCCCAGATGCTTCAGGACTGAAGTGGCTGCAGCATTTTTATTGATCTCTGTGGAATATCACAGTGGTGTCATCTTCATAAGAGAGCTGTGGGCTGCCTTGGTGGCCTGCCAGAAGCCCAAGGGCTGTCTCCCATTTGCATGAAATGGCCCATATTGCCACCCTTGGCAGCACCACAAAGGCCGTGTGTCCTACAGACTGTGCAGGTCCCAGCACGCAGGGAGCCACCTCACTGCAAGCAGACACACCAGGAACTCTGGATTTTCTGCAGCCAAGGTACCTGTCTGCCTGCTGGGGTGACAGCGAGCAGCATTCCAGCTGTACCACTTGTATGCTAAGCAAGCAGTTAAAAAAAAAACCCAAAAAAACCCAGCAGTGCAGCCGGTATAATTATCTTTCATCTCACCTGAGTTCAAAAGCAGGGCTTTCCCACTGCCACTCTGTTTTCTTAGCCGTCTGATCCAGAACCACTTTGGCTGTTGGTGGTTTCTGTGGAAAATTAAAGGGGGAAAGACTGTCACAGCTTCCTAATGGCATCTAGGGATTCTTTCATATGCTAAGTCCTTCATATCTTTTACAGTTTAAGTGTGATGACATCATATACATAATAGCCATACAGGACTGCCTGCATGTTTGCAAATAAATGTTAGAATTCATGACGATCTTTTTTTTCTCATGCCAAAAATGACTAAATAATTCAAGTCCATTTTCTCCAAGAGCTTTCCCTGTAAATCGAAATGCCTCTGCTTCTACCTGTTAATTGCTAATAGACAAGATTCCACAGATAACTGCATGTTGCAAGCTTTTATTTTTTAATTATTTACAAATAATAATAAAAGAAGCATAAAAAGAATTGTTATGGGAAATTATTTTCTATCAACTCTGTATACATTTACAAATGAAAAGTTTCATTTCAGCTCTGCCTAGGGACTCCTTGTAAGAACTGTATTGAGCTATTACAACTTCAGATCAATAACTTATCTTTTTTTTAGTTATGCACTTACTGTATAAATGTTGTCTAGTTATTTCTTCCTGTCTTGATGCTGTGGCTTTTTGGCTTATTGATACTCTACCAAGTATCTGTATTTCACACATTCCAACAACTTTATATCACTGTAGCACACTTCATTAGCCAAGCAAGACTGAAGCCAGACATTTCCTTTTCATTACATATGGAACTGATGTTAAGTAAACATGAAAAGTGAAACAGAAATATGTTCAAACATGCTTGTATCATTTTATTACTTTGATTGTATCTCCGTGCATGACTGCATCCTCACGTGATGCTGATACAGGGTGTATTTCTTCTTTCACTCATGTAAACGTACATGTAGTCTGCTAAAAAGAAGATCTGTTTGTGGGTTGGGTTTGTTTCAAGGCTAACAAAAATTACGTCAATTTAAACCTGTTTAGGACTTCAAAAAGGCAATTTGTACCATGAAGTGGCTCTCTATATAATTTTGTTTCAGTTTTAGGGAAGGAAGTTAGTACATCCATTCACTGCTAGCACTCATGAATTTGCATATTGTGTAAGATCGGTGTACAGTATCTCTGAAATACCTGAAAATGCACCAAGCTTTGTATTTGAAATTAAGCCAGCAGCCTGACCTGATAAACTCATGGTGTTCCATGAACCCTATGTGGCTGCACAGCAAAATCCACCAGTCCTGTAGGCATTGACTTTGGACAAAAATGCCAACCTGCACCTCTTGGAAGTCCAATGATGTCAGTAAAACAAGGCTAGCTCAACACATTCCTGAAAGCCTGATTTAAAAATCACACTTAAGCAGACATCCCAGCGTTTGCTTTTATTAGGTGTACTCATGCTATTTGGTGAAACATAATTCCCTGTCCATGACTGGTTGCATCATGGTTTGCTGTATCCAATAACAGAGATATTCACTGTCCTGGGGCCTTTATGCTGCATGCCTCTCAAAGTGTGTAGCAGTGGACACCCACAATGAAGCAGGAGTTTGCTTCCCTGCTCATATGCAATATTCCACTTGCAGAGTGAGTGTTGTCAGTAACGATTTCGGCAAACATAAGGCGTGGTCAAAGTTGTCTTTGCAGAAGAATGGGAAACAAAATCCTCAGTTTCTAGCAGGTGAAATATGACCCTCTTAATCAAGGGGATCCACTGCACATCTATTTCAAATTTGACATAATTTAAACTCGTGCATCTCCTCTTTTTGATTACAGTGCTATTCTGAGTGCTTGGATTTCAATACAGTAAGAAGTCTGCAGTTGAAAGGGAAGTATTTCGTTTTTACCTCCTGCGAAGCTGTGATCCCCTAGATGTACTTTAACTAGCTAGAAAACAGGTCCTATTTATCTGAAACAACCCCAGATAAGATACCCAGTTGGCATCCCAACCCATGTCTCATCTTTTCTAGCACATTACGTTTTCAAGCAAATAGGTCAAATTCCTTCCCAGCATAGCTTCATAGAAACCCATGGCTTTCAATCAGCAGGTAGCCAAATCTAAACACTGTTATGGAAAAGGTTCATTTGGAATCAAACAAGGAAAACTTTTGAGTTAGAATGATATCTGAAAATATTTGCCCAGTGAGATGAAGACATTGAAATACTTGAGCAGATTCACCCTAAAGTTTATACTTGCTCTTGTGCAAACTTCATGATGGATCAGAGCCGTGGATACCCACAGGACTGAGCAATGAAGGAGGACAGTGACCAAAGTCCACTTTGCTTCAGTGAGCTGCCTGCAGATGGCACTCAAAATGGACATGCTCACTGGGAAAATGAAATGGCTGTAAAGTGAGCAATGACCTAATGTATTGCCTTTCCTTCAGGACATGGCACCTTTTTGAGCATACATGAAACTCAGGTGGGAATTAAACCTGTAGAAATCAAAGTCCTGTCTCCACCAGCTTCCATCTGCTAATAATTCCTCTCTTAAAGTAGATTTCTTTAAAGGTCTAAGGTTTCTTTTCTCCAGTTCATATTTAAATGATGCAATGACAGGAGACACCCTAGGGTGTTACCACACTTCAAGAGGTGACTTCAAGGCCAGCAGCACTCCCTGCATGCAATACTATCTTGCGGTATTGTCTCATACCATTGTTCTTTGCTGCTTAAATATTTGGAGAGGTGTGTCATGCTTTGTTATTGCCCTTCAGCCTTTTGGAGAGCACAGAAGACAGATCTCTAGTGGAATAGTTCAGCACTTGACAGTGACTTCAAAATTCTTCACCCAAGATTTGTCCAGAACAAAGCATTTCACAGGACATACCAAATACCTTTCACACCTCTAGTAATTTGTTCAGTTTATATACATTTTCTTTTGGTTCATTGTTGCTTCAAACTACATTTTAGGAAGAGTGACAAGAGTGAACCCATGGAAAGAGATCCTAACTTCTAGACCAATATAAACTACTAGGAGCTCTGCTAAATGCAGAACTGCCAAAATCAAAATCAGGTTTCTAAGGTTCTTGGCACAGGGGAAGCTGCTTGAGTTTGGTTTCCATTAGTTATTTAGCACTTCTAGTATTTTTGTTGCTTCTGTTGCTTCATTCAGCTAATTGCCAGGATCTTGAAGATTTTATTCCATGGAGACAAATGCTGTATTATTTTTTCCAAGCACTGTTAAATCAGCAGGAGTTACTTCTATGCAATATTATAATAGCATTTGCAGAAATACGATATGTGTTTATTACTCAGTTAAAACTATGTCTGTGGCCAAGCTGTGTCAAAGCGATACTGTCATTCTTCAATTGCCAATGAAAAAGTAACCATACGCTCCAGTTTGTGTGAGCATTGCTCCCCACACACATACTCAGCCACTCACAGGTCCTACTTATTAAAAGCTGCCTTCTCTTTGGCTGCCAGCAATGATTTTAGACACTTACTTGGCAGAAGTATTTCTCGTATCCATTTGCAGGTGTTTGTAAGCACTGCCCATCATTTTGCTCAAGGTTAGAAATGATCTCTGTGACAGCCAAAGCACACTTCCAGATCCAGGACTCAAGAAAAGTGTAGCAAGTGGTAGAAATGTGACCTTTGAGCATCATGAATAAGAGCAAGCAGGCTATGAGGCAGCAGCAGCCATATGTTCATTACCTTTGACTTTAGAATGTTTGGCAGAGATGTGTCAAGTGTCTCATTCAGCTCTTCACTGCTGTGCAAACATCTGTGCTAAAATCTAAACTTCCCTCATGTAGAATTTAAAGAGAAAACAGCATTCTCTTAAAAGAAGACTCAAATCTCAGTGATCTGGCATAAGAATGGAATTTAAGGTTCAGAGTAAGCCCCAAGTCATGCGGCAGATGGATCCAGTTAGCCTCAATTAAAATATGAGAACATCAGGCTGGTTTGGCAGAGAGATATTGTGGCAGGGGTGGGGACAGAGCCTTCAAGGAGAAAGTGTACTAGTAAGCCCTAGTCTTGCAAAACTAGCAAATAGTTAACTTAAAAATACAAATGTATGTATTGTTACTGAAATTAACTATAATGAAAGAGATATTTTGAATGTTGTATTAAAAGGTGCAAGATGGACTCTCCTCAGCTGCAAGCAGTATTAGATAACACCTTGACTTAAAAAACCAAAATATGCAAGTTTATCTCCCTTTCCTTGGGCTTCATCAGAGCATATCCAAACTTTTATTGTAACAACAATTGAAAATATAAGCAGATAATTGGAGGCTAGCTCCTTAAAAGCATTGTAGAAAAAGCATCAAATTCCAGTTTGATTATCTGGAAAAAAGAATTTCTCCTTATAAAACAGAAGCTTCTGTCTTCCTGTGTGTGAGGACACTGTTTACATACTGTAGAGAACAACTGGAATAGAAGAAATTAATAACCATGTGGAAGAGAAAGAAAGGTGGCTCATTTTTTTCTTTTTTTTTTCTGATAGCTGGTGCTTGCAGTAATAGAAGCATCTAAAACTATGTGATTCCAATGTATTTCTTGATTTTGTAGATATAGGACTGTTTTTCAGAGTTCTTATATTTTTACAATGAAATGTGAGTTTTTAAATAGAAATACTTCTTAACTTGAAATAGCAGTGTCTCCTCTGCAGAATGAAATAGCAGTCCTCAGATAACTTGAATATTGTAGAAACAGTGGCTACACTTGCATGCATCTGGCTTGCTTTCTGTGGATACAAGCAAGACATTCATTGCTTATTTTAAACTCCCAGTTTTTAATTACACCTCTTAGCTTAAATTTGGTAATTATGATTAAAAAATAAACAAAAGAGTGGAAGAAGATGTATTGCTTGCTGTCTCCATTCTGTAATTCAGGCCCCACTTCATCCCCCCCAGTGCATTTGTTTCCACCCCATTAGTACTTTATTACATGCAGCATGCTCTAGGTCTTGAAGGGGCATTGTTTGCACACAAACAAGCAGGTGTTAAAGTTCCTTTTATCATCTTAATGACACATAAGCATCTCTAGGGCCTTCAGTGAGGACACCTACTTCTCAACAGAGAGACAGCTCATCCATTTTCTTAGTCCCTATTCCTGCCCATTTTGTCCTTATGGATGTAGATCAAAGCACTTTCCTCCATCACTTAATCTCAGTTTCTCTTCATCCATGCTGTTCCCCAATATCTGTAGGGTAAGATAGCAAAGTAAAAAGATAAAGTCAGTCCCTTCTTCATCTCTGTTTCTTGCTACCCAGCACATGTAGCTCAGTGACTTGGCAGACACAGAGACACAGCTGGCTTTGCTGACAGATATCTGCTACCCAGAGACCCCTTAGTATCCATTTGGATCTCTACAGGAAGTATTGCAAAAGGACAATGCATTTGTGTGACTGGGCTAAACACAGAGGGAGGGTTTGGTGCCTAGTTCAGGGTGTATGGGTTCATCTCATGGAGGGACAGTTTGGATTCCCCATCAGCTGGAGCAGAAACTAAGTCATAGATGCAGGATAAGGAGATGTCTGAAGCCACTTGAAGGAAGGCTGAGATTTCAGGTGAAGTGGTGCTCAAAGAATAATTGCAGTGGAGGAGGTCTGGACTGTACAATAAGAGGCTTAAGGGACTCATGGTCTGTTAAGAAGGTAGGAGCTTGATAAGGTCTATCAAGCTGGCAAAAATGTGTTCCTTTTCAACTCCCCTACCCCAGGCTGGTACACTCACAGTTTTCCAAAACAACTGCTGTTTACGCTAAAGTTTTCCATGTTTGGTCTTTCTCCAAAACCAGATTTCATCGTCAGGTTTTAGCAGAAGGCCTGCTGTGCTGCTTGGGTGGGCACACGTAGGGAAGAAAGATTTTTGAAACATCTGAATTTTATCATGCAGTCAGGAAAAAAAAAAAATACTGAAGTCTGGTGCTTGGAATGAATGAAATTATTTGCTAATGCCAAGCCCAGATGAGCTTTTGCAGGGCAGTATGAAATATATATTGCTTTAACCCCTTTGGTTAAGGTCAAGAATGAAGTGACTCAATGTCCTGGCTTGTTATAGACATGCTGTTCCTGCACGGAGAACTGATTTGAATATTGAGCTATGGTTCAGTGTTGCTGATTTCAACATGTGATGGATCAACCCCACAATTTCAGAGCAACCTCAATTGTCCAGAGAACTTACAAGCCCTCCTGGCTGCGTTATGCAAGACCAGAGGGTTAGTTTGGGGTTTTTTTTTGTTTAATGGACTTGTAACCTTGTCAAGCAAAGAGACAGACTGCACATCAATGAAGACAATTTTTTGTCCAATTTTTACACTCTGCTGAGATCACAACAATCTGTAAGAGCCAATCTCTAAGTTTTTGCAAAAAAATTGGTTTTGGTAACATATCTCTTTGGGGTGTTTGCTTGTAACACAATTCACATTTCTACTACATTGTCTTAGATAAATCAGGAATTTTATTCATGTCTTGCTCTACAACCTTAGAATAGTAGTTCCATCCTTTTTTTCTGCCTCTAAGGGGACAAGAATTAGAATTTATCTGACACCAAATACTGTGTAAAGATAAGAAATTAGTGTTCTTGTTATAAAAATATGGAACTAAGTGAGTTCTACAAATACTGTCTTCATTACTATCATTCCTATTGTCCAAGACTATTCAATAAAATTATATTTGTAGTAATAAAGTGATCTTCCTGGTAGCAAAGTTGGAGGTATTCCTGCTATCATTCCTCCCTATTCTTACCATCTACTACCATGTAAGTAGCAAATCAGTAAGTTTCCTGAGTCAGTTTGTACCCAAAGTGAACATCAGCATCCTTCTTGAAAGCATTCCAGATGTAACCAGGGTCGTAAAACAAAACAGAAGGTTGATGGTTTTACTGTGATGCACGTTGCAGTCAAGTAGTTATCTGATGGATCATCTACTTTTTATGATCCATGATGAGAAATATAGCTGTCATGTGAGGAATAGATTTCTCATCGTAAAACTTACCTCTGTAATTTCAGCACCTGAATAAGTGCTGCCTCAGGTGCTGATTGTGCTAGTAAACACTGTCTGAAGAGTGATTTCCCCATCTGTTTCTCCTCCTTCCAACTAAATGCACAGTTTGGCAACAAGTGTGTTTCTGCAGTTCCCTCTCCTTCAGCAGCTACTGCTATTAAAGCTCTCCCATGAGGAGGTTCCTGTTGGGTAGGTGCTGATGCAGGAGTTCACCTGGGGAAAGAAAAGCCTTGTATGTAGGTCAGTGTTTCTGTAGATAGCTAGTGAAGCAATCTCTCATGGGAATGTTAACTCTCTTGTGGTGCAGATCACTTCAAGTCACTGGTACCACTGCAAGGGGCTGAACTCATGTACCTCATTCAACTCAGTTTTATTACAGTGTAATAGGTGAGAGAAAAACTCCTAGTTTATGCAGGGTTTTTCATCTCTGCACTGGTAAGGCAATTAACTTGGCATTTGGGGTAGATGTCTAAAATCAGAGCTCTCAAACCTCTTGTACCATATTTATGTACAGCACGTTCTCAATGGGAGAAAACGAGATACACATTGAGGATGTAGATCAAAACATGCAGAAAGTTGCAATGATTTCACCACTATCCATAGAACTCCTGGTATAAATCAAATGGATGTTAAAAGCGAGGAAACCTCTTCATCTAATGTGATGACTGAACCCCAGGAACAAATTTTCCTCTCGGATTTGTGTTGTGGACCCCCTGTGTTTGGGAGAGGTTATATGTTTCAGCGTGCTGACAGACACTGTTATATACTGGGCTTTATTCACCCCTGTCCCGCCAGCCTCCAATAGCCCTTTGCACCTCTGAATCCCTCTGCCTTTGGCACTTCTGCTGGTGAGACTCCCAGATGGGGGTGTGGTTTAGCTAAAATGGGTGCTTTTCACCAGAATAATAAATTATTCCTATACTACTGTCTGAAAAGGGTGGATCTGGAGCCAATTTAGCGAGCACAAGTTACAATTGACTTTGGAAGTAATAACTTATGCTTTGAGCTGCCTTAGATGTATAGCCAAGGAGCTGTCTGGCTGCATGTGTTTTTACACATCTTTCAGCTAAATTAGAAATCCAAGTGCAAAATCTAATTTGTGGAGATATCTTGGAGATTTGTGACCTTCCCAGAAATACCTCGAGTCCATAAATGATCCAGAGGGTCTCCTCTGGTTTCATCTACCTTTATCCTTTTTTTTTTTATTTTTTTTTTTTATTGCCACATATGGCAAGTTGCTAAATAGTACACGAAGTTTATTGTATCTTAATTAATGAATCTGAGTGTAATTTTCCTCAGTCCTGGCAAGTGAACTCTGCTGAAAAGCTGATTAGTGAAGGGACCCAACTTAACACCCTCTTCAGAGATGTGACCAAAGATCGAGGTATATCCATATGTGTCATATTCATATGTGTCAAAGGTAGAAAAGACTTAGGAAAGCATAGGATGGGGATTGCACTGAGCTGAGAAACAGGAAGACAGTGGGTGGAGCCTTTAAGGAGATGGGGAGGAAGGTAATGGTGAAATGGAAGAAAGGTGTAGTAGAAAAACATCAATTGAAAGATTAAAATAATCACAATTGGAGATACTGGGAATATCCAACAACATTTGATCCAAGGAGGAACCAAGTTGGATATGCCTCCTTGCTATCTGTTGATACTGAAGAAGAAAAAGCTTAAAGCAAGCCCTGAAGCCGAGGAGAGAATCTGCTGTTGAGTTTAGCGGTCCTTACGTCGCGTTAGTGGAAAAAGGACTAAATCAAGCAGACATATAAAGAGCAAGAATAATGGTACACGGAGACGGTTCATTTCTTCCTACTGTCAAATTTATTAGTTTAGCCTGGTGGGATGCTACCAGCAGTGATGATGAACATTACAAACCTGAGCTGTATTTAGCCCACTCAGTCACTTCTTGGCCAGGCTCCTGATGAGTTCAGTGGGAGATTGCATGAAAATGTGCAAGTCCCTCCTCCCCAGAAATAGCAATTCTCCCAAAAAATACTCTGTTAGATAGCGTGAGCAGGTGTACTGAATTGCTGGCATACTTTCAGTATGCTAGTTAGCACCTCTGATGAGGTCAGTTAAACAATTGCAGCCTTGAATATAGAAGTTGAAACACTTAGGGTTTGTAGGAAGAAGAGCTTTATTTCAGAGAGAAGCTGAAATTTGTATGAAAATACATAACTTGAGGCACACAGATGAGTAAAAATTACCTAATGAGAACGACAACCATCTCTAAATGTTCTTTTAATATGTGGATTTGAATGTATTCAACATTATGTATGTTGTTACACTTATTTTTCTTCTTATGTAGACAGGCACGAGTCTTCCCTACATTGTACTTTGTCTAATTCATACCCATGCAAAACACAGACCAAGTGGGAGTAAATCGAGTTGGCTGCACCTTCTAGTTAAAATGTGAATAACTATTCTGGATGTAAAGCAGCTGAAAACAGTACTGCTCTTACACAGCATTTGCATGTCTGCTATCATGAAAGATCACACATTTCACAGAGTTCCTACACAGAAAGAATTGCAGATGACAAATGTCCCGTTAGTCATGTAGCTGGTAATTTTTGTATGCAATTACCAGAACTGCATGCTCAGTTCCAGTAACCATGTGCACAAAAATAGGCTAAAACAGCCTGCTTAGGGTTGTTAATAACATGGTCCAAAGTCTCAGTCTTTATTGTTTTGCTGTTTTATGCTGGTTTTGTAAGAGAACTGAGCCAGGGATTAGTTTGGCTGTTGACTATTTGAGCAAAAGGCAGCACACAGCTACTTGTACTGCTGAAGCTGCAAGGCTGCAGAATATCTGCATTGACCTCCATAGAGTTTGAATGCTGAACTTGGTATAAGGAGCTGATGGGCCAGAAGATAGATACTGCACCAGGTGACCAGCTGTAGTGTATGGCTCAAATAAGGAACACACAGCTCCTGATATTTTGCATTTAAAATCCTTTAAAATCCATGAATCTCAAACTATCAGTTTCATAGTGAAGCATAAGTCCTTGCCATAAGCAATTCGGAGCCAGCCTGCAGTAGTTGAGGAATACTTAATTGGCATTTCTCTTTTTTGCATATCACTGTTCTCATCGGTTCTAGTACGTTGTTTTTTTTCCCCGCCTGTACAAACCTCTTTGCCTTAAAGGACTCATGAAGGAAATAATTAAAAAGTACACAGAGGAAAACCATCTGAGCAGAAGGGGCAGAAATCCAAGGTGCTGTAGGGAGTCATCCCAAACACTCTTTTGGATGATTATTAATTTTTTTCTTACTATTATTTTATGACGCTGTTTATGTTTAATTACTCATGTTTTCCTAACCTGTGTGACAGGCATAATTTGAAGAGCAGTAGTAATGATCAAGCTGTGGAAGTGCCAGCTGCTGCCTACGTGCTCAAGCAAGCATAGAGCAGGCAGTGTCAGGAGACAACTGTCTCTTGATTAGATCTGAACTCCTTTTCTTCTCATGTTGATGAAAATGATCCTGACTGTTATTATTTAAATATAAATTATACCGAAAGATACTATGAATAGCGAGAGCTGTCTCAGGTCACTGCCTGTATGGAATACTAAGTTCATGGGACTTTACTGCAGTATATGCAGCTAAAATGTATACTGTTTTAGTTGTAAAAGATACAGTTGATCTATTTGGGTGCTTTTCATCTAAAAATTAAGTCTTTAGAGCAGAAAAGACAACCCAATAAACTCATAAGTTCTGGTATTCTCAAGTCAATCGTAGCAGCCTGGGGTGGAAAAGTTGAAGAAGCAATGGTAATTTTTTAGTATTGCTAGGATGAGTATCTGATTTTCGTGTGAAAGACATTATAAAAGAAAATCCAGGGGTACAAATAGAAGTGAAACTGTAGACAAATGAGAAATATGTGGTTAAATAAGTCACCTGCTGCATCAAGGTGCTGTATGATCACTCATCCTTAGAGCAGTTTACTTCTGGGGGGTTGCTCACTAAAAAACAATGTCAAGGACTTACGCAGGGCAAATTGTGCCAGATCCAGTGTGATGTGAATGCTTGGTTTCTTCATAGGTAGTAAGGTACACATCAAAGGGAAATGGTGAGATACAGCCTGGGTTCCCTTCTTGTTCCTCACTCCCATTCCAAGGTGTTGGTCAAGTCTCTAAATCGTCCTGCCTCCTAGCTTCATAAAATGGGGGTGACAGTGCTTTCTTCCCATTCTAATGTCATTACTGTTGCTTAATTACATAAAATTCGTATCTTCTCTGGTGGTTCTTCATTGTCACCGCTGTGCTGCTGTGAAGCAGTTCTGTGTTGTCTAACTGGTAATACACCTAGTTGAAGCCTTGCTCAGGTTACAAGTGGAATGAATCTGCCAAGATGTTTATCTAGCTTTCTTCAGCTGCTTTTGAGATTCTCGGTAGATACATGTAAGTTCTGGAATTCATGGCTTTGTGTGTTCATATGTATTGCCATTACACTGGAATATGTCAAAGAAAGTAAATCAAGCCAGAAGGTTTCACTGGTGACCTGCACTGAAAAGGAGATGAGAGCTGTAGACGGATTCTAAAAGAAAATTCCAGGAGGTGATATTTGACTTTGATAAATTTTCCGAGAAAGGGCTGCCATTTCTGTGTTTGTGCAATGCATAATGGGACCCTTACCTGGCATCTCTGCCCTGCCAAAACATGAATGAAAAATAGGATTGCTTGTCTGAGGAACAGCTCTGTCTTTCACATTGAAACTTGGCAGTAAATGATTCCTGTGTGAGTGGTCTCAAGAGACACTTTCCTTGTAAAGGAGTCAAGTGATTGATGAGGCATCTCACATTTTAAACATTATACAGGTGAAAACATTGGAGTATTCTGAGCTCATGCCTGCTGATGTGTATGCCTGAACAGTTTGCTTGCTTTTTAATTGTGGAACTAAAGAAGGTTTGGTAAGTAGGGCAGGACCAGTAGAAAATGCTAACTGTTTTCCTTCTGTAATGAAGTTTTTCATGATTGACCATTGCAGGGTGAAGTAATGAAGAAGCTTTTGGTAACAGATCTAAAATTTCCTTTATTCTATAGCTGGAAGTATTTAAGAGGAGAAGGTCATTGAGAGGACAGATTTCAAGAAGTGGTATATGCATTGGTGATGCTTTGGAAAGAAGCAGAGAATATTAGCCATGCTTTTAAAGTGTATATGGCTAATGCACTGCCAAATCTGTGGAATTTTATAGGCAGCTACTCCAAATAGTAATAGCAGTCAATGAATCTGCTTTTTACCCCTACTTACACTGGCACTGCGAGTTTTAGGATATCTTATTGCTTCTTTAAAACTTACTTCAACGTCGTTTCAGCCGTGTCAGCAAATCACTGCTGTGTTACTGCTAAAATGAATTGTCTCTCAGAACCCTGCAATATTCCACACAAAATCCTGAGGGCAATAAAGCTGGTGTGGGACAGAATACCCCTGGAAAAGAAAAAGGAACAAGTCTGTGATGATACAGAGAGAAAAAAAATTGAAAAAATGTTCAGGTGAAAAGAACACTATAGTAGAAACAAGGAGAACAAAATCTCCGTGTGAGGTAACATTTTGCAAGTGAAAGAGAGATAGGAAAGTAAGGTCAGGTTTGAGATGATGTTTGAGCAGGAGATTGATGCTCTAAAGAGAAATGGGATGAGCTTAAATGAAAGAAAGACTGGAAGATACATCAAATTAGGAAAGAAATATGTATTACAATAAAAATACATAAATGGGATTTTACAGGACAATAACTTCACCAAAACATGGGGAAAATTTAAACAAGAAAAAAGTGAAAGAAAATAAATACCAAGGTAAGGGAAGGATGGAAGAAAACAAAATACTGACCTTTAAAAAGAAAATAAGATAGTTGTATTCATTTTATTGATTTATTGGAAGATTATGTGGTGAGTTTAATATCTGCTCTGAAAGTGAAAGATGTCATAGGAAAAACTATGATTTTTTTTTTTTCCCAGGCTTTCCTGTGCAGGAAATGTAATAGGAAGTTATTTTTATTAACGAAGATCAGAGAATATGCAGCAACAAACTACTAAGAATGGTGTGGAAAATCCGGTTATTTTTCCAGTCAGACCAGAAGAACCTGTGGCCATTGACCAGCAGGAGCCTAAGGGTCAGATTACTAAGCAGCAGGATCAGTGAACTGCATGGCAATTGGAATCTGTGCGTCTTTAAATACACACCAACAAACTTACATTACAGTCAGAAAGAAATCTTGAACACCATGTAGCTGGTATTTGTAGCCATTCATTAATTGCTTTGTGCTCTGTTTTGTCTGCCTAATCAACACAAACAGCAGACTTGTTTGATTTCATTTGCAAATGTGAAACCAATTGATTTTACGGCAATATACTGCTTGCTGAGCAGTATTTTTCCATCAAGACAGTCAGGTTATACCAGTTACCAAAAACTGATGGGGCAGAACAGTGAGAGCCTTAGATAGAGAGACAAGGTCTTTGGCAGAATGTTTTGGAATTTGTTAGGGGAAATGTACCCCTCGGTTCAGCGTAGCCTTGAGTGTGCTGGGAGGACTTTTTCCTTTCAAAAGCTATGACAAGCTGTGGCAATACTCAGCCCACATCCATAACACACTTGTCAAGGGACTGTGAGATGAGGGAATGAGGAGCACAGTGCCTTCATTTGCAGCAACAACATGTATTTCATCTGTAGAAGAGATATTCAGCTGTCTACCTTGTCCGGACTTAACCAGTGACCAGTGTTTTAACTTATCAGGTTTGGTTGAACACACGTGCAGTATAAAAAAATGTTTGTTTCTGGGCAGGAAATGCATTAGCCTTTAAATGAATAAAGTGTGAGTTTGAAGCATAAATGTGACGTGCATTGTTGTGTGCTACTACCTGCAAAGGGCTCTTCTTTGTAGTGTCCTACTTAGACTCAAGCACTAAATCTTTCATCAAAGCAAGTCTGATTATCTTGCACATGGTTTTCCTGAAAGGATGTTATGATTTTCTAGATGTTTGGTGGCTGGTGATAAATTAGTCTTTCATGATGTCATGTGAAAGGCCACTGCTTGGACTTCCTTCTCTATGAAGTGCACAGGAGAATATATTTGGGACATACTCAGCATCAGAAATCATCCTACCTTGTTTTATTTTAACCCTTTTGTGGACTCTTGCTTGTCTTGTAACTGTGTTCAGGCAAGGATAGCTTAATTTTTTCAGACAGGAGCCCCACAGTATCATGGTCTGGGTCCCCTCAGTATGGGGACTTGGAATTTTTTTCCCCCTTGGGTAAAAAGATCTCAGTTCTTGAGCACCCTTTAAACTTTTCACAGATTAAACTCTCTCCAGATATTTTGTCTTGAAAAGGATTTTCAAATCAGATGGGGGTTTTATTGAGAAATTGGAATGCAGTGAGGGGTGGGGGATAAGGTGATGCATCCCATAAATTAGGTCAGGTTTATGACTGTGTAGAGGGAGGCTGCTTCTAAAAAAACAGCCAGCAGTAAAAAGCAGATTGTGACTTTGTCCAGAGAAGCAGCAGCTCCCTTCTTCATCCCCCATGCTGCAGGGAGAGGTATTTTACTTCTTTTCAAGCAATCAGAAATGACTGAACATCCTCCATGCTAACTCTTATGCACTAGTTAATCCATGGCAGGAAGGAAGACAGGAAGAGAGAAATATCCATCTCCTCACTGTCCTCTTCCCCCAAGTCTTACCACAAGCTTCAGAGGGACAGAGGTTCATGTAGCACTGTAAGAGTTAAGAAGAGTGTGTCATCTCTCCTGCTCAGCTTCAGGTAGTCAGGTGAAAAGACAGCAACTTCTGTTATAGGTGATTTAATTAGAATTTTTCTATTTCATGCTCTTTAGATGAAAAATTCCATTTTGAATAAATTAATAGTTTTATTAGGGCAAATATAACAGCACACCATTCCAAAAATATTTTAATATCATTTTGATGTTAACGTAAGTGCCATGATTTTTTTCAAAAATGTGAATGTCCATGGGGTAGCAAAATCACCACAAACAATGCATCCTGTAAAAGAGAATAACTCTATGAAGAAGTAATATCCTGAGTTCATGGATCTGCATTCATTAAGTTGCTGCTTAATGCTCTAAAAGTAGATAAATATCTGCAAGTAGAATACAAGATAGCTGTCCTAATGTTTACTGTTTTATTACTTTTCATTTGGTATTTGACCAGAGATGATAACTGAATTTGTTTACATTTCCAATATAAGTTGCTATAAATGAAGTAATTTTTAGTGGAGGAAGAGAAGAAATTAAGTAGGATTGGAGCATGCATTGCTGGGGTTTCAGTTTTCCTATTCATCTTCACATGTCAGTCAACAAAGACAGCTGAAAAAGACAATCATTCACATAATAAAAGAATGCACAAAAAACCCAGCTGAATTCAAACCACTTCACAAAGTAGTGATTTCCTGATTGTTGCAGAAAATGTGAAGAGTAGGGAGTGATGAGAAAATTAACTGGAAGGTTTTTTTTAAAAATAGGTGATAATTACATTAAAAAAAAATTAAGGTGCCATGCTGTCACCTAAATATACGTAGTGTAACAATAAAACCTCATATGATGAGGACATTACTATCTTACTCTTCCCCCCAGAATAGTTGTCAGAGTGGAGAACAGGCAAAGCAAGAAGAAAACACATTGAATAGTGAGCAAAAGCAGGATTTGAAGGTACCAGTGAAAAGATAATAAACCTGTTCTTTTCCTATACTATAGCTGATCTCCATCTATATGAAAGAGGTTCATTTCTCACAGGTCTTGGTTTTTATTTATGTGCAGGTGAGACATTTGTCCAGGGAGCCTGAAGAAACATGCTCTTGTACAACATCCTCCAAACCTTTGGTGTAAAAGGAGAATTCACTAATGCTTCTAACCCATGTCATGCAAAATCCATATTATTCAGACACCTCTTGCTGCCCAGGTTAGTTTGAAACACGGAATGGTCAGCTCAGACATCAGCAGCCAGGCTACAAGGCAGTAGAAGTCAGTGGAAGTGGTACCAGGATTTGCAAAGAGCATTTCTGTTTTGTTGTAAGAGTAAGAAAATCTTGCTTTGATAATCATTACTTTGCATTTTAGCAGACATGCTGAAAATTTTATCTGTGATTGTGTGTGTTTGGATGTTTGGATGACCCAGTACAACACATCAGAAAGGAAGGGTTTCTGCTGGAGCAAGGCAACAGGAGGGCTGGGAAGATTGTCAGAGGGGCTGGAGCACACCTATGAAGAGACTCTGAGAGATTTGAGGTTTCTCAGCCTAGAGAAAAGAAGATAGAAATAGAGCAGCTTTCCAGTACCTATGGGGGACCTGAGCTGGAGAGGGACTTTATACAAAAGCATGTAGTGAGAGGGCAAGGGGGGGATTGCTTTAAGCTGTAAAAAGGTTCAGATTAGGTATTAGGAAGAAATTCTTTACTCTGAGGGTAGTGAGGCACTGGAACAGGTTGCCCAGAGATGCTGTGGATGCCCCATCCCTGGAAGTGTTCAAGGCTAGGTTGGATGGGGCTTGGACCAGCCTGCTGTAGCGGAAGGTGTCCCCGTCCATGGCATGGGAGGTGGAACTGTGTGATCTTTACTGTCCCTTCCAACCCAAACCTTTCGCTGATTCTGGGACCGTGTCCAGCCCTAATACCTGAACTATCATAATTATGGTCTGTATATGGCAAATGCAGTGGGTCTGATTTTCTTCCTCTCCTCCAGAAGTTCCCTGCTTATTTAGGAGAAGGATTCCTGTGAACTAGAAATGATCTTACCATTCGGAAGCCTCTTTGGCACTTTGCAGGGCCGTGAGCTGAGGTTACAATTGCACTTACATCCAGGCTGGGGAACAATTTCCAGGTCTTCCCAGCGTGCAAAACCGGGCCTCAGGGCAAGGTACGAGGGAGGGAAGCACCAGCCTGACGGCAGCCAGCTGCAGGAATTCTGCTGTTTGCGGCAGCGGGGCTTTCCCCGCTGCGGGGCGAACACTCTTGGGGCCGCCTCATGCGTGGCAGCCCGAAAAGCAGCCATGGTCCCGCTTGCAGCGGGATGCCCGGCACAGAGCTGTGCGGGACGGCTCCTGACGAGTGAGCTCAGCTCCGGATCCAAAGCGAGTGAAATTCAGCACTGGCTTCGGGGATATCGGGCTGTAATTCGGCAGGAATTTTATCTGGCTCGAGGGACGGCACCGGCCAAGATGTTTTCTCAGGCTTGGCTTAGCAAAAGGACAGGCCTGAGCAGCGCTCAGCCCTGTGAGGGGCTCTGGCTCCTGCAGCTCGGGCCGTGCTGGCCCCGGGGCCCTGGCAGGCCGCGGCCCCTCGCCCGTGAGGGGGGCACGGCTCCAGCTCAGCGGCACCGGGCCCGGCTCCCCCTGCTCCCCCTGCCTCGGAGCTTTATCTGTGCCGGCCGTGGGGCTGCCAGCACCGGCGCTGAGTGAGCCCATTTCCCCAGAGCGGAGCATTGTTCCCGGCCTCCGGCCGCCGCGTGGCCCCGCTGATGGACAATACCAGCCGTCCCCGACTTCCTGAGCAGACCAGACAGCTTGCTGTTTTCTCCGAGTCTCTTATCACCCCCTGTCATTGAAAGAGAGGTCTGGCTTCGGCTTCGGCTGGGGCTGATAGGCAGCAGCGAAGTGGAAAAGGCGCAGGGGAGGGAAGGGAAGAGGAGAAGAAGGAGGAGGAGGTAGAGGAGCTCCATTACTGTTATTATCGCCCTAATGTTTATTGCTGTTCCGAGTTCATTTGCCTTAACCCTTTGGAAGCTGGTCAAATTATAGATTATCAAGCTGATAAGATAAAGCCGCTGTTCTAACGCCCCTGGTTCCTGGCGGAAAAGCGAAGGTTGTGCTCGGGTTTTATTGACTCTGTGGTTTATGTTGATGCCTTATTGCTGGAACACAGGGGGGTCCCGAGATGCGACCTTACCCTAAAGATGCCCAGCACTCGCAGCCTGCCAAGGTCCATCGGATGTACAGGGTCCCAGCACCACGCAGAACCAATCCTTTCCTCAAGTCATTCTTTCCCCTTCCTTTCCTCCTCAACATGGTTTTAGTAAAGATTAAACTTTCTGAATAGGGAGGGGATTTGCATAGGAAAACATGCTAGGCAAAAAAAAAAAACCCAAAACATTATGCCTCTTATTTTCAATGGCATTTAGTTATTATGTGAGTTTCAGCCTATTGGTTGCTTTTAGCCTTTTGCCTTTTCCTGTGGTTCTTTTGTGAACAATACTGTCTTTCTGCAAAAGACTGCTGACCCAAGAGTGGAAAGCAGTCTGTTCATGCTGCATTAAAACAAATTTAGATCAGGAACCAAATTCACTGGCATTCTTCTATTCCCTTGGTACCCCAACTGCTCCACAACTTTGCTTTTCTAAGAACAGTGAAAAGAAAAAATGAAAACTGAGCAACAACACATTTTGGCTCATCTTAAATTCCTGGAGATGTTTACTGTGCTCCTTGTTAGGCTTGGGCTTTCGCTCTTCAATTTGTTTTATCTTCAGTCTCCCCACTTTTACTATGGAGATAGGAGTCTCTTGCTTTCTAATTATACAGGGTTTTCATCCCTGTTACTGTAGATATTATAACAAATACTACCCTTTGCAAAGAAGACAAGCCAGAGTTCTCTGTCCCGTGGATCTCCAAAAGAACACGCAGAGCAGCGCACAGGAGACGCAGTGCTCGTTACTGTGACTCCTTCTGGGGTTTGATCCAAGCTTGGCTGAGCCATGCATTGCATTTTGCACCAGTAAGGCGTATGTTTACAGGCTCTACAGCTCTGGTTTAGTGAGGTATTTATACTTTTCTTAGCAGAGTGCTCAGAAGTCACAGTAACTGTTTTCCAACTTTGCATCTGGATTAAGACACGATGTCCCTGGACCTGATGGCAAGTGTGGCGGAACACTAGGGAATGGGGGATAAGGTTGATGGTGAAAGGACTGCCTAGTGAGCAACTCATGCAGTCTCCTGATGTGTTTGCAACACTTCAACAAGGCTGTTCTCCAAGCAATATGCAGCAGCTGATACATATATGTACTGTGGGGCTGGTTTTACTACTGAGATTTACTACTGGAACCCTCTTTAAAAAATGCTATGTAAAGTGCTTCAAGAAGTACACAAAGGGGAGATTATTTCATGAGATAAACCTTAGTATATACATTACTGTGATATAAATTTTTAGTAGGGCTTGCTGTGATAGGTAATAGTTTTAAAATCAAAGAAGGTAGATTAAGACAAAATATAAAGCAGAAACTTTTTATGATGAGAGTGGTGAAACACTGAAGAATCTGAAGCAGATTGCCCAGAGGTGGAAGATGCTTTATCCCTGGAAACCTCTGAGGTCAGGTTGGCTGGGGCTCTGGAGATGTCCCTGCTCAATGCAGGAAGGTTGGAGTATATGAGTGTGAAGGTGCCTTCCAACCCAAACCATTCTAGAATTCTACGATAATGATGAAAACACAAAACTGCAGTCTAATCAAGCATCTGGGTTTTTTTTTGTTTTGGTCTTTTTTTCTTTTAATGGTATAAGTTAAAGCTAAAAGGTGATGATTTTAAGAAGAAAATAAGGAAAATAAAACACTAGTGGTGCTTTCAGGAAACTTTGGCCCCTCTCATCTTGAAATCCTTTTTGAAGAAAGATCTTGAGCAAAAAAGTGCAAGACTAAACACTCAAGCCAGAGCCTCCACCAATCTGGGTCAGTGCTCTTTGCTTATGGGAGCCCTGATGTAACAAATCATTTTCCAAGCAGTGGTGCTGATTGTGAATGTAACCCTGGCTTCTTTTCAGATGCAGTTATACTGTTGTGTGCTCAGATCAAGTTTGTTTATTTTTAGAGGCAAAGCCTTGTCTGTGCTTCAGCAAGCAGAGTTGGGCACAATTCCATCACAGGTGTTTTACTGACAACTTGATCTCACTTTTACTCTACTGTAAGAGACAGCAAAAGCTAGCTCTGTGAGCTGGCTTCAGTGAAGGCACATTTGAAAGGGAATCAACCAAGCTGTAGTAATAAAGGAAGCCTTGGCCTTCTTTCAGGCCACACTATCTCCTTTTTGGTACGTTGTCTTGAGGCTTTAAATTTTCACTTCAAGTTAATTGAATGAGACAGTGATACAATGCACAGTGAAACCGGATCAATCACTGCACAAGACAAAATAGAAGTCACAATGACACTCAGAACAAGAGCTTGGGAAATGTGATATTTACATTAAAATATTTTACATTTTTGTCTCATGGTTTAAAAATCAAATTCAAAAATGTCTTACCGCATTGCATAACAAATTTCTTGCTGCTTATCTGTATGCATTTGTGTGTGTGCATTTGAACAACAAAATTGAATAATCACGAAAGTAAATTTAGTAATAATGGGGTATTTTCTACACAGTTACATAGCCTCAATTGCAGAAAATATAAAACAGAAAAGCTCACACATAGGAGCTCATTCTGTTCTCTGAAGCCATAGAATTTACTTGCTTATATTTAGTGGCAACAGAGAATCCGACTGCGGTCTTTTCCTTCTTCCTTCCCTTTAAATATTTACCTGGATATTGTTTCTGACTCTCAGCATGCCATTAAGACTTGTCATTACTAGTCACTTATGTTAACTGCTTCCATGGAAAATAAGGACTTGTTCCTAACAAAATCGATAACTAAAAGCAAAGACTTGACTTTATGTTCATGATCTGAGTGCTGTAAAAACAAAAGAAAGACTTAATCAGTGTTTTCAGGGTTATAGACTCTTAGCTCAGTATCTAAACCCTCAGAGTTTTCAGGGAGTCAAAAGGCTTTGCTTTCCTGTCAGTATGTGAAGCACAATGGCACAGAAAAAGTAATCCTGCAGGAATACAAAGCATGAAGTGGTATCGTTTCATCAGGTTCTTTTCCATCAGGAACAGGGATATGGGGCGGTTTATATTCAGCAGCAGCTGTTTTTCAAGAACCACCCCCCATTTCGCCAAACCACCTCCCAGTCCTCCCACCCCTGCACACCCCAAAAAAATAAAAATCCAGGTTTTCTCCAGTGGAATCTGATCTCTTCTTTCTTTGCTTTCTGATCTGGTTGTAATTCCAGAAAATGATGCCCTGTTATTGAAAAATTAATGCACTTTAATAATGAATATACCAGAGGGGGCTTTTGGATGGTGGGGTTGTTTGTGGTTTTTTTTCCTTTTGGAAGTCTGAGAGATGCATCTCTGGTTTCAGTGAAAAACTTAAACAATATAAACAAGCAGTCATTCTGTTCCAAGAGAAACTTTTTTTTAATATTCTTATTTTATTGTAATTACCTTATTGTTTTCATATTATGAGCTACTTGTAGAAAAATACAGGAAACATGACTGCAATACAATCCTTTAATCAGGAGCAGTTTTGTTCCAGTCATCATTTCCATTCAGTGTTGAAACTTTGGCTAATAAGAATACAATCAATCCTTGAGTTTAAGTATAATGTGGTGTTAATATTATGGTTTCATTTGGCCTCTGTACCTAGTAACTTCTGTAAGTGAACCTTTTTAAAAGTGCCTAGGAGATATTTTGTCTGTATTGCTGTTTTCAAGTAAATTAACAAAGCTGTGTTTCTCAAAAGGACACAAACTTCTTCAGGAGAGCCACTTAAAATCTTTTAACCCAAGGCAGCTGGGGAATTTGTATTAACATATATATTAAATCTTCCATTATTTTCCCCTTTTTTCTTTTTTTTCCTCACAGATAATACCCCAATACCTTTACTGCATTACTGTTAAAGTTTGTGAATTTTTAAAGGAAAAATATGAGGATTTTTATACCTAGATGGCTTCAACATGCTAGTTGTTTGATCTCTGTGTATAATCCAGAACTGCAAATACTTCCCTTTTACTGATTTGCAGCCTACCCCCAACCTTATTTTGGCCTACTCATCAGCAGATGAGTGTTTACATTTTTGAATAAAGGGCTGGAATTAGGTAAAGTATTTTTTTAGATAATCTGTTTTAAGAAAAAACATTTGTCCAAGACAGTTAAAAGACTGCTCCCAAGCTGTTCAAAAGCAGAATGCAGCTACTTACAGCAGGCCATGGCAATTCATTTTGTGTTTCCTAGTAATTTTGGGGGTTTTTTATAATGGGAAGCCAATATCTTAGATAAGGTTTAGTTTCAAAGTGTGTTTTTGATATAAAGATTGTGGATGTAAAAGTTTTACTTACACAGCATTTATAAAAGTAAAAATCTAAGTTTTATGATATAGTTTTTATGACTTAAAACTAGGTGATGTTAAAACACTTCACTTCTAGCTAATGGCTTGAATTAGGGCTGAATAAAAGGCAATTGTTTTTATACTGAAATTATTATTTTATGAAGGATTTCCTTGTTTCCAGACACATATATACACACATATGTAAATTAAACTGAACTCCAGATAAAACACATATCTCCATGCGTACATTAGAGTCTGATCCAAATTTCATCAAAGTTAGTGGGCATCTTTCCCACTTCAAACCAGATTTTGCAATCCATATTCACACGACCCTCCAGAGGATCCCTCAAGTTGATGCAGTTTTGCATGACTTGGCCTAAAATGTCTGCTGCAGTTTCAAAAAGCCCATTATAGGGCTGCAGTAGGAAATAATTTAGTCTAATTTAAGGAAATCATGACAGGTTTGTTTTTTTTTTTATTTTCATATCATTTTGCTCTGATCCATCTGTTTACTCTCTT